CCCATCCCTCATCCCCCCTTCCTTCCCTGCCCGGCCCAATGTCCCACGCTGTCCCCACGGCCACCGTGTCCCCCCCACCTTCCGGGGCATGTGGTTCCCGCGGTCGGGACGCCCCCCTTGCAGGCTCAGCCCCTTGTCCCGGCGGCGGCGCCGGGCGGCCTCTCGCTGCTCCCGCTGCTCGCCCTGCACGGCCAGCAGTGCCCCGATGAACGCCGTCTTCACCTCCTTCTCGAAGGCCAGCTCGTCCCGCCGTGCCAGCTGTGCCACCAGCTCCGCCGACAGCGCCCGGCTCGCCGCCTCGGCCCGGCCCGCTGCTGCTGCCAGCTCCCGCGCCGACAGCCGGCCCAGCCCTGCGCCAGTGCCGGGTTAGAGGTGGGCACGTGCCCAAGGGCACATCCCACAACGGGCTTGGGTTGGAAGGGGCACTGAAATCTATCCCGTTGCAAGCCCCCTGCCATGGGCAGGGACACCTTCCATTGACCAGGTTGCTCCAAGCCCCATCCAACCTGGCCTTGGACACTTCCAGGGCTGGGGCAGCCACAGCTTCTCTGGGCAACCTGTGCCAGGGCCTGCCCACCCTCACAGGAAAGGATTCCTTCCCAACATCCCATCTAACCCTGCCCTCTGGCAGCAGGAACCCATTACCCCTTATCGTCCAGGCCTCTGTCCAAAGCCCTCCTCCAGCTCTCCTGGAGCCCCTTTAGGCACTGGAAGGAGCTCTACAGTCTCCCTGAAACCTCTTCTCCAGGTGAACCCCCCAGCTCTCCCAGCCTGGCTGCAGAGCAGAGGGGCTCCAGCCCTCAGAACATCTCTGTGGCCTCCTCTGGACCTGGTGCAGCCAGTGACATGCAGGGTGAAACCAGGAAAATGGCCGGTGCCAGTGAAGTGCACACGGCAACCATTAAAATGCATCTGGCCTGAGATGCATGAGTGAGAGGTGCCGAGAGAGATGTGGTCTGCATTTCTTTCCTGAGCCACCAAGAAATAAATCTATTGTGCAATTAATGATTAATGCCGTGCCCAGAGCAATTACAGAACTGCCTGGCACTATTAGTGACATACAAGGTGCACTCGGGGACATTCAGAGGGATGTGCATGGTGCGATTTAGTGACATGCATGATGTGACTAGTGACATTTGTGGAGTGATAAAGGGGCTCTGTAATTAGGGGAACGTGCAAAGCAATTAGTGAAATGCCTGGGATGATCAGTGACACACCCCATGCCACTAGTGACAAATCCCATGCGCATGGTGCATTCCATGTGGAACTCAAAGGCTCCTGGCGAACCCTGAGTCACATCCCTCTGTTCTTCAGTGTTTACCAACAGCCCCTCTGGCCAAGCCCTGGAGCAAGCCAGCACTGAGGCCTGGGGAGGCTCAGTTGTCCAATTTGGTTGGAATTGTCCCCCAAAAGTGACTGGCTTGGGCTTTGCTGGCCATACCTTCGTGGGAGCAGTTGTTGTTGAAAGCAGGGGAGAAAGCACACAGCTCCCGCAGCAGGATGGGCTCCGTGCCCCCACCTCCACCTTCACCATCAGCATCAGCCTCAGTGTCCTCCTCCTCGTCCTCCTCCTCCTCTTCCTCCTCACCCTCAGGGTCAGCCTCAGGGTCAGGTGAACTTTGCATCAGCTCCTCCAGCTCCTCGATGACCTGTGGGGCATCAGTGTCCTCCATCTGCACTTGCATCTGACCTCCACCTTGTATCTGCACCCTGCATCCCACAGCTGCATCCTGCACTTGCATCCCCGTCCTGCACCCACATCTGCCCCCTGCCTCCCCATCCTGCATCCACATCTACACATCTGCTCTCTGCCTCCCCATCCTGCATCCACATCTGCACCCGCACTCTGCATCCATGTCCTGCACCAATATCTGCAACCTGCTCCCTGCATCCTGCACCTGCATCCTCTGACTCCATTTGCATTCTGCTTTCTCCATCCTTACCAGCACCAGCATCCTCCATCTCCAACCTGCTCCATCTGCATCCTCCCTTCTTATTAAGTATCTTGCACCTGCATCCTCCTCTTCCTCCTACAGCTGCATCCTGCTCCCTCCATCCTGCATCCACACTTGCATTTACATGCATCTGTACCTCAGGTCCTCCATTTGCATCCTGCATCTGCATCCCATATTCCCATCTGCATCCAAATCCCACATGCCATGGGCACTCTGGACCTGCATCCCCACCTAAATTTGCATCCTGATCCCTGCACCCCCCTCCTCCTCCTCCTCCTGTTCTTACACCTGCATGTGCATCCTCTATCCAGCCTTCACACCCTGCAGCCGCCTCCGCATCCCCCTCCCCACTCCTGTACCCTGCATCCTGCATCCCATATCCCACACCTGCACCCTGCATCTGGCACCTGCATCCTGCACCCCTCATCCACATCCTGCCTCCGCACCAGCATCCTGGAGCTGCAACCCACCTCTGCCTCCCCGCCTCCCTTTCATTCTTCCCACAACACCCTTTACCCAGCACCCACCGCCTGCACTTCCCTTTACATCCACATCAACGTTCCACGTCTTCATCCCAAGGTAATAGGATTTGGCCTTTTCTTGTGCTTTAAGCTTATGGCCATGATGCTGGGGGGGAGGGGGCAGGTTAAAGGACACGCAGGGATCCAGGTGCCCGTGGGGCTGGGGGTACCTGCTCAGCTGTCAGCAGCGGCTCTTCATTGATGCCCGAGTCCTGCTCACTCCTCTCAGTGAGCTCCTCTTCCTCCTCCTCCTCCTCCTTCCCACCGAGCTGCAGGAGACACAGGTTGGGCAGCCTTGGTGGCACCACAGGCCCGGCCTGGCCCAGGCACACCCCAGCACAGACACAGGCATGGCCCTGGCACAGGGAGAGGCACCAGGAAACTGGCTCAGGGAGACACGCTGTGTGAGGGGATGGCATGGGGAGACACTGGACTGAGGGTATTGCGTGGAGATGCTGGGTGGGGATGTTGGGTGGGAGGATGTTGGACAGAGACACCTGATGGAGATGGCCGGAGATGTTGGATGGGGAAGTGTTGGACAGGGATGTTGGATGGGGCTCTGAACAGAGACACTGGAGACAGAGACAATGAACAGGGAAGCACTGGAAGGGCAGGTGTTGCAAGGAGATGTACGGAGATGTTGGATAGGGAGACACAGAGTGGGAAGAAGGCAGGGAGAAGTACAGGTCTGTTGGATGGAACTGCTGGATGGAGAGATGTTTTATGGAATATATTGGGTGAGGAGGGGCTGGATATGTTGCATGGAGATGCTGGGGATGTTGAATGGGGAGATGATGGATGGTAAAGCTGAATGGTCTGATGGAGACATTGGGTGGGGACATGGCAGAGGGGACCTCTGAATAGGGAAGGGATGGATGGAGATGCTGAGTGGAGATGTCAGACGATAAAGCATCTTTTTTTTCCCCACCTTTCAGTCTTTTTCACCTTTTGAGAAGAAAATAACCCAAGAAAGTTACCTTCTCTTCCCCCTTCAGCCATGGGCTGTGTTAAATCCAAATGGGTTAAATTCCATGGATTCTGGGGTGTTTTTACAACCCCAAAAGCAGCAACTGACAGCATGAACTCACTATAACAATGAAAACACTATTTTCTAACCCCAAAAATACCCCACCCCATCCCTGACGTGGGGACAAACCAGCAAAGCCCAGATTGTCAAACTAAATGCTTCATCTTGCCCATTTCAGTGTGATTTCACTCTAAAATGTGGACACTCACTGCATCGGTGCTGCAGCACCCTAAAACTACCATTTTTGGGTAGTTTGCAGTGCCCTGATGGTTGCTGAGCCTGAGGGATGATTGACAGCTGTCAATCCACCTGAGGAGAGGGGGGCTCTGGAGAGCCAAGGGGGGGCCACAGCCGTACCTGGGGGTTGGTGCCATCGGGGGCCTCAGTGCCAGGGAGCCACGGCCGGGGGGAGCTCCGGGGGGCAAAGCCATCAGTGAGAGCATCCCAGACCCTGCAGGGAGGTGGGTGGTGAGTGGCAATTCCTGAAATGCTGCCTCTCAGAGAGCCGTCTCAAAAATGGCACACCAAGATGCCTTGAAACATCCCAAAAGGCAGCCCCAGAAACAACCTGAAAGGTCCTACAAAAATCCCCAAACACCACTGGGATCCAAAACACCGCAAATGATACCCTAGAAGACCCCAAATACTGCCCTAGAAGACCCCAAAACTTCTCAAAATAGCATCATGAAATATTGCCCTGAAATACCCCAAAGCACCCCAAAATGCTGCCCCAGCACCTGAGATGCCCCCAAATGTCATTCTGAAATGTTGCCACCAAAACATCACCAAAAGGCCACTGTAATGTTCCAAAAAGTCTTCAGATGTCCCAAAAGACCACCCCAAAATGCCCCAAAATGCCACCAAAAAACATCATCGTCATGTCTCCATGAAATGGCCCAAAGCATCATTCTAAAACATTGCCCCAAGGTCCCAGAAATCTCTGAAAGGCCCCAAACCACCTCAAAATGCTGCCCTGGAACATCCCAAAATGTCCCCAGCTGTTCTCCTGAAATATCCCAAAATGCCCATAAAGGTCCCAAAACTCCAAAATGACACCGTGAAATGCTTCAGCCACCCAAAAAAGACCCCTGAATTACCCCAAACATCCTAAAATGTCCCTTTTGACCACCCAGAAATACCCTAAAATGCTTTCCTGAAATACTGACCAAAATGATACAAAATGCTGCTCCAGAACACGCTGAAATATCTCAAAATGCTGTCCCCAAACTCCAACCCAAAAAGCTTCCCATTGCCTCCAAATATTGACCTGGCATCCCCAAACACCCCAAAATGCTGCCTTGACACATTGCCCAGAAACCCCTTAAAAAGCCTCAAAAAGCTGCCCAGCTTTTTGAAATACCCAAAAACGCCGCCACAATGCTCCAGAACATCCCTCAGTTGTCCAACACCCCAAAACGCTTCCATAACACCCTAAATGCCTCAAAACTCCCCAAAATGCTAAGCTGGAAAAACATGTTGAAAAACCTCACAATGCAGACACAACACCCCAAATTGTCACCTCGAGACAGCCCTGAAAGACCCCAAAGCTGTCCCGAAAGGCCTTAAAAGATGTCCCTGGAACATACAAAAATGCTGCTCTGAAATACGCCCCCAAACACCCCAAAAACCAGCTGTGATGCCCTGAGATGCCCCCTAAAACAACCCAAAGTTTCCCAAAATAACAGTCCTAAAACACCTGGAAACAATCCAAGAAGTTTCCAAAAGCAGCCCAAAACATGGTCCTGATACCCCAAAATGCACCAAAATCCCCCAGAATTCCCCTAAACTTTCTCCTCTGTGTCATTATTGGGGGTATCTGATTCCACCCTGCAGGGCTGGACCAATTTTGCCCAATTTTACCCCAGTGAAGTTGCATGGAGGAGGGGGGGATAGAGGGGAAAAAACCAAAAGCAGGGGAAAAGAGGGAGAAAAATGGGGAAAAATGTTCAAAAAGTCCAAAAAAGTAAAAAGAAGGAAAAAGGGGGGAAGTGGAGGACAGGAAGGAAATGTGGGTAAAAAGGGAAAAAAAATAATTAAAAGGGGAAAAAGGTGGAAAAGGAAAAAAAGGGAGGGGAGTGGAGTAAAATAGAAAGAGGAGGAAAAAGGAAGAGGGGGGAAAAGGGGAAAAGGAGTAAAGGGAAAAGGGGAAAACAGAGGAGAAAAGAGAAAAAAGGCATAAAGAAGATGGAGAAAAAGGGCAAAAAGGGGGAAAAGGAAGAAAAATGGGGGAAAGCAAATTTGGGTAAAAGAGGGGAAAAAGAGAAAAATGAGAAAGAGGGAAAAGATGAAAAAATGGGAAAATGGAGAAAGACGAGAAAAAGGGGAGAAAGGGAAAGAGGGGCAAATAGGGAATAGGGAAAGGAGGAAAAGGGCCAAAAGAGGGAAAAAATAAAAATTGGGAGAAAAAGGGGAAAAAGAAAAAATACATGTAAAAAGAGGGAGTGAGGGGGAAAATAGGGAAAAAGTGGAGAACTGGAGAAGGAACAGAGAAAACAGAAGAAAAGACCAGAAAACAGTGGGTTTGGTTCAACACAGTGCCACATCCTAATTCCCTGAAAATCACCCCAAACACCCCTGCCCTCTTTCCAACCCCTAAACTGCTCGGGTTTTTTTATCTTATTTCCCTCCTCACCAGAGCTGAATTCCATTTGAAATTAAAGATTTCACAAATTAACACACCAAAACGCACACAGCAAGCCCCCACACTGCTATTTTTTACCAAAACCTCAGCAAATCAGCGGTTATCCCCCCAAAATTTGCTTTTTCCCCCTGCTCTTAAAGGGTTGGCACCCCCAGGGCCGAGCGCAGCAGTAATTTCTGGGTTAATTATGGCAAGAAATGGTTAATAATTCGGGAAATCCAGCGCCGGTAAGGCCCCGGCCCCTCCCCCACCCCACACACAGGGCTCATTCAAGGAAGAATAGAAAAAAAAAAAAAAAAAAGCCCTGTTTTGCCCAAAGTGACCCAAAAAAAGACACAATGAGCGGCACAAAGCGGCGACAGCGCGGCAGCCCCGGCGTGCAGCCAAGCTGCGTTTTGCTCTGAAAAACCATCAATTCGGCCAATTGCAAAAATCAGTTCGGCCTCAGCTGCTTTCGGTGAAGAAAAGCCAACGAAACAAAACAAAAAAATCAACGGATTTGCTGCTTTTTGGGGTTTAAAACAACTCATCTGCCTGGTGGAAATAAGGGTTAGCAAGTGTGGTCTGGAGAATAATCCCAATTAAACACAGCAAAAATCCACGAGAATGGTGAGAGTGTATGAACGGCACAGGGGAAAAAAAACGCCCATGGATTTGGGGGAAAAAAGCCCATGGATCTGGGGAAGAAGAGGCATTTTGCAACAAAGCAAGGTTTTTAATGAAACTGCAGAATTTAATGCAAAAGGCACAACGATTATTGAGGGGTCTGGGGGAATGTGACCCCAAACTGGTTGTCCCCTGGTGTGGTACACAGGAGGTGGCTAAGCTCTACTCACACCTTGCTCAAGGTTTATGCTCAACCTCCAGGGCTCTCCTGGCATAGAAGGAGCCATGACCCCTCTGCAGTACGACATGGCACATGCTGTGCCACCTCTTAGGATGCTACTCCAGGGATCCCACACAGCTACTCTGAAGATCCTACATAGCTACTCCGAGGTGCTGCATGACCATGTCGCAGTCCAGGCATGGATGTGTGTGTGGTGGGAGATTAGAAGCATGCAAGGAGGTGCAATAGGTCCCAGAGGGGTGTTAGTCATAAGATACTACACCACTACTCTGAAGTGCTACACAATCACGTTGCAAGAGGTGAGCTGGACTGTGAGCTGAAGGAAGGGGGGGTGTGTCATGACCATGCAGGCCCAATCACATGGCCTCCTCATACGATCCTATGCAGTTCCTCCAAGGATCCTACGCAGCTACTCACAGGATACCACCCAGCTACTCCACGGTGTCCCATGGCTATACCACGAGGCAAAGGGCCCGAGGTGCATGTGGGCTGCCCCTTGCTAGCACAGTAGCCCGCAGACCCCAAAGACATCCTTTTCCATAGGAATACTACAGTGCTATTCCCAACACGGAGCATGACCACGCCCTCGATGCAGGGGGCTGCTCAGGGAAGGGCACAAGGAGGCATGCTGGCTTTGAGAGGGCTCACTCCCAGGTTTACCACACCACTGCTTCGGTGTGCTGCAATGATGGGAGACAGTTTGCACTGCAGGGGGGTTTCAGGGGAGCGAGGAGGCACATGTCCCCAAAGCAGGAGGGCCTTACTCACTCCTCATCCTGGAGGCGCTCCTCCTCCTCCTGTGCCTGGAGGTGCCCCCGCACAGGGGCCAGGCCCTCGGTGGCAGCGTCGTAGTTGCGGAAGCAGACGGTGAGCTTCTCGTCGAACTCCTGCACCAGGTCCTCCATCGACTTGAAGCTCATCATCTCAGCCGAGAAGCTCTCCAGCTCAGCCAGCGCTGGGTCCGCAGGGCGCTGCAGGGTCCCCACATCGTCCCCGGGCCCCTCCTCAAACTCCTCCTCCAGGCTCACCAAGGGTGCCTCCATCCTCCTCAACACCGATGTGCCGCCTTAGCTGCGGGGAGAGGGTGCCTGTGAGGCACCAAGCTACTAACAGGTTACACCACCGGGCTCCCCCTTCCCTTTGCTGCTGCTGTGCTGACTGAAACTCTACTGCCAGGGCTATTACACAACCAACAGTATCTCTGCAGTATCCTAGTAGTAACCTAACAGGATCTTAGTACTGTCTTCACAGAAAGATGATGCACCCTGACATTATTCTAGCAGTAACTTACTAGTAGCTACAAAGTGATGCTCTGATAGTATGTAAAATCATCATAACATTACCTTTTTCCCTGAAGTGATAGTATTTTACTGGTATCCTTATACTGCATCACTATCTTAGCAGTGGCCTGAAAGTATCATACTAGTATCAGTAACGGGTTGACAGTACCCCAAAAGTTTGAGCATTGCCCTGATAGCAACTATCTTGCCAGAACTATCTCACCACTAACTTTTCTAGTGCCCTTGTAGTATCTTCGGAGTATTCTGCTGATATTCCACTTGCATCCTGAGAGCGTTCTACTGAAAAACGAGTACTGTCCTGATAGCACCTTAGTAGCTTTGTGACGGTTCTCTAGTAATGGCCCTGTAGTATCTTAGCAGTGCCTTATTAGCATTGCAAAAGGATCTCAGCAGCATCTTTGGAGTACCCAGACAGTATCCTGATAGCAGCATCCTGATAATAGCTTTTTGCTACACCTAGAATATCACAGTAGCAGCCACTGAGTAGCTCAGCATTGCCCTGATTTGTACTAGCACAGGCAGGAATATCCTGATGCCATGTCAGGAGCATCCCAACATCATCCTAGTTCCAGACTTCACAGTGCCCTGATAGTACCACAGTATATAAATATATAAGGAGTGTCCTGGTAGGATCCCAATAGTGGTGTAATGGCATACAGCTATTATCTTCATAGTGTCCTGGGAGAATCTTGGTAATGCAGAGTCATACCCAGATATTATCTTACTGCCATGTAACTACAGTGAAAGCAAATTACACTTCAACATGCCTTGAGAGCAACTGGACAGTGCATGAGCTGCTCCAGTGGTACCTTCATATGAGTATTTCAGTATCAGCCCTGGAAATATGCTGGAAATATCTTAGTGGTGTCCTGATAGAATCCTGGTAGTGCCCTGACAGTACCTCAGTAGAGTTCCCACAGCAGCCCACCAGCATCCACATAGTATCCTGAGAGAATCTTAGTGCCACCCTCTAAGTTCCTTACTACAGTCTGCAGAGTAACGTGTCCACATTCCACTAAACTCATGATAGGATCTTAGCAGCATCCCAGCAGCATCTCAGTTGTGTGTTGATAGTATTTCACTCAGTAACTCAGAAGGTTACTGAGGATATCCCTGTAGTGTCTGAGCAGCAGCTTCTTAGGAAGCAAATAGTAACCTAGTAGTAAGCCAGGAATAGCCAGTAAAGGCATCACAATGCTTCCCTGGGGAGGGGAGTAGAAACGTTGCAGCTCTGGGGGGAAACCTGGCCAGACCAGGGCTTTGAGCAGCACCCACTCACACCCACGTGCTCCCGCACCCACGTGCAGCACAGCCACACAGCCCTGTGCACACGTGTGCTCCACAGCACGGGCACGAGCCTCAAACGCCTGCAGCACGCACCCACACACACCTGTGCACAGCTGGATCCACACACACCTGTGCACAGCTGGATCCACACACACCCTGTGCACAGCTGGATCCACACACACCTGTGCACAGCTGGATCCACACACACCTGTGCACAGCTGGATCCACACACACCCTGTGCACAGCTGGATCCACACACACCTGTGCACAGCTGGATCCACACACCCTGTGCACAGCTGGATCCACACACGCTGTGCACACCTGGATCCCCACATACACACCCCATGAACACCTGCATCCCCTGGTCATGCCTGCATCTCCACCCACATGCTGTGAACCGCTGTGCACACGTGTCCCCACACCCCCCCAGCCCCCCACGCCTGCACCACCCAGGGACACCTGGCACCAGATACCAGGACACACAAACACCAGGACCCCAACTTCACACACACACCTGCACACACACAAGACTGCAGCTGCACACACACGCCTTCACATGCACACAAACA